TGGCGGTTGGCGGTTGGCGGTGGCGGTGGCGGTTGTGGTGGCGGTTGCGGTGGCGGTGGCGGTGGTTGTGGCGGCGGCGGTGGCGGTGGTGGTAAAGGCAATGGCAGTTGTAGAGGTAGCGGTAGTGATACTGATTTTGGTAGTGGTAGTCGTAGTGGTGATGGTAGTGGCAATGGTAATATCAAGACTATGACTAAGGGTAAGAGTACCGAAGAAGTCTGGTAATGATCAGCTTGAGCAAGGTGCGGCAGGTCCTTAACCATCGCAGCACCTCAGCTACAGATGGATCCCTTGAACAAGCACACCAAGCAAACAGGGATGACTCTCCTAACAAAGCAAGTCAGCTTTACCAATTCTAGGAAACTCATGGACAGGGAAAGCCAAGACATCTTTTGGACGAGCAGCAGCCTCTAACGCCCTCGCCGGAATTGAGGCTTCGTATTGCCAAGAGGAATCGATGCGCAAACACGATGACGGGAATACCCAACTTGGCAAAGGGGACCGCAACATCCAAAGCAGTGTACAAGTTTCCCCCTGCACACTTAGCCCTGGACCACCAGGTATGCCAAAGAAGCTGCTATCCTTGCAGAGGCAGAGGGCGTCATTTAGATGACACGACTGGTGCAGGAGATCGTTCTAGAAAACCTCACCCCTCTAGGCAGCAACCGTTGTTGGACAAACGTTGCTGCCCTCAAACATTAAGCCAAGCGTCTGAAAGTACACGTAAGCCCGCGTATCATTGAACAGGTGTGGATTCGTTGTTCTGCATGTGGAACAACCCTTGCAGTGTCAGGAAGTAAGACTGGATAGGGCAGCTTCGGCAGTTTGTTTCAACAGACGAGAACGAGCCTGGATGAGAGTGTAACCCCAGATCACAGTGATCCAACCGGGGATCGAAGAGATCAAAGTGGTAAGGACGAACACCTTCGCTCGCACTAAATCAACAGCGAATGCTCATCCTCAACAAGTTGGATCAGCAATCCCTATTGCTCTTTGCTCCAGGTCAAAGCCAACTGTTCGACGCCAGTCACAGCCAAGACACAGATCGAGTGGACATGCCGCGGACCTGCATTAAACCTTGGAGCTTGTTTGCTAAACAAAGTCTCTTGTGCATCTTGGGTGCTCCAGTGCAAGGCTAAGCAGCTGCCAACTTTTGATGAGAGCTGCCCCGCAATCCAACCTACCAGGATGCTGCAGATCATGTAGTACTTCCTCAGCAGACAGGGCAGGCAGGCAGCATGCAGGCGAGAATCACGAAGGGTTTTTGCAACTGAGTTTCAGCATAGGCTGATCGCATGGTAGAGATCCGTAGCAAAGCGCCGCGAAGAAGGCGCGCCAAAAAACAACGAAAAATGCCAGCGAGGCAACCTTGCGATGAAACACTTTTCCCTCTCTCTCTCAGCAAAAAGCCAAGCGTAGTGCTCCTTCTGCTGCTACGGAGCTGTGATTCCAAACACGCCGACGAAGCACAGGCAAATCTGAGTGCACACTGGCTCAAAAGCATGATCTGCTCATCGTTATGGATGGCAAGCTGCGTTTTGCAAGCAGCCTTCCCTCTGCTGAACATCTGCGCTTGATTTGCACTTCAATGAATCAGTTTAGGCGGGACTCCCTGAGAATTCACCCACTACGTGCGAGCGGCTCCAAACGTAGAAGAAAACTGAGCCAGTTACAAAATCAACCAAGGCACAATTTTGGGGGTAAATCTTTGCAACATCTGCTCGACCGCCTCGCAAGACAGAATTGCAAAGCACAGCACATGGATCCACAAAATTGGAAAAACGGAAGGATGATGGTCGCAGCAGGCACCACTACATATCTTTAAGCGCAAGACTCTGCAACACAATCAGATGCCAAGCCAATTGCTGCTGCTCTCTCTCTGACCTCATCCCGAAGGCGGCGTTGCACTGCTGAGCTATCCACCTGGCAATTGGAAATGCGTTTCTGCTGCTTTCATGGGAGCAAGTGGTGTAGTTGCAGTGCTAGGATGCAGGGAATGCTTGGAATGAGATGAAGAAGAAGTAGCCGATCGAAGCAAGCCGGCAGTTTGTGGACAATGTGAGCAGTGTTGTGTAGTGAATATGTACTTGTGGCAACGACCCTGCGAGTTGCTTTGATGAAGCAAGACAATGTCTACAGTCTTTAGCAGCTATAAAGCCCGGATTAGGATTGCTTTCTCAGCATGCCATGGTACTCTTGCTGGAGGAAATCACGCACCAACAAAAAGTTTCCAATCTTTTCGATTTTACAACATTTTAAAGGCCTTAGGTGGTGCAAGATTTCCGCTATCAACCGTATCTAATGGTTTCGAAGGTCTTCCACAAAGCTTCCAGTAAAATCTGGTCCTCCGAATGCGATTGATGGACTAAATCCAGCACAACCTCAGCAAAGGCGGATGACCTGAAACAGAATGCTGAACATGGAGTCCTTTGACAGGATTGACGCTTATCGAAATGTTACCATTGCGCGTTCGACTATTCTGAGTAACAAAGTGCCATCGGCGGTGACAAGGCGACAGTTACCTCACAGACTATGCATGCCTCCAAGCGGCTCGTTCTGTACAATTTTTCCCCGGCCCATTACATCCATTACAGCGAGTATCTGCTAGTTATTCTGATGGCAAGCTTGCAGTGGCATGAACGCAGAAAGCTGCAGCAAGAAAGGAGAGCCTGTCTCCGCGAACTGATGCGCGAGAGCAACGGATCTCCAGCAGCTCCTGACCAAACGTAGCTGGCATAATGAATTGCACCGCTTTGCAGCAGAGAACACCTGTTTCTTCTTGTCTTGCCAGGCTTGATTGTCTCGCCAGGCTTGGTGCCAGTGCAACACCACCGCTCAGAATCGCGGAGGCGCTGCGGGTGAAGCTGGGCGATGCCATGCCTGCACGACCTGTGCCATAACCGGACTGAGCCTACTCCAGAATACTCAGGAAACAAGTAGCATCCAAAAACTTCAAATCCGAATTTTTGAATCAGCAGGAGTAGTTTGATGTGATGCAGGGATGATTTCGGAAAGGCTCCAAGAGCCCATGAGCATGGACGTTGGCGCAGGCTCGGGCACAAGAAGAATACCTTGGGCAAGGGTTTGGGTCTATAGACCATTTGTGGTTGCTTTGCACGCAGTGCTTGAAGGCTGCTCAACATTCACCCCGAAACCGGCGCATGAAAGATGACACAACGCAGTGCACAAGAAGATCCGAACGCAGGAGCATGGGTTCTAGAATGCCAAATGGCATTTCAACGAGTCAACCTGTCGCATTCATGCCAGTTTTAGGCAGGATAGCAAGCTTTTCTTGTTGCTGCTGATCTCTCACAGCAGAAGCGGGCCAGAAAATCCCAAGGGCCGGCCCTTCTGCCACGATAACACGATGGATCGATTGTCAAGCAAAATCTCAGCAGGGAGATGACGAGCCGAGCCTACTACGCCGAGCTCCGTTACGCTTCCTCTTGCAGAGCCCCTGCGGTATGAAGTCCGCACGCTCTCACACCAAATCAAGCACTTGGCCAGTATTCAGGTAGTTCAAACAACATACGAGTACTTCCTGAACTTAGCAGAGAATTAGCATGTTCCATGTGCTGATGGAGTGGAGCGCCGACACTCACTGCGCAAGGCAGTATCGAAACCTTGCTGGAGTACCGGTCTGAGGCTATGTCAAAAATGCCAACTGGTTTTTTGGATTCGCAAAGGATTTCTTCGACACGTGTCACATGCAACATCGTAACAGGCTTACGAATCCTCAAGGATACTGACAGTTGCGCTTTGCTTTCATGCCCTTGACCCACGCATAAGGCCATCTGAAAGATTCCAGAGCCATGTCCTGCGAGCTGCGTTCACGTACGGTAGTGTAGCGGTGATTGCCATGTCTCTCTCGCTTCGATGAATAAAGGAAGGGAATCGTTTGAAGCTCTGCATGCTGCTTCTTGGGCCTCCAAAACTTGATCTTGGACTTACCAACTCGCGTTGGCACACTCCCTGCCTTGGCCACCCAGCCAGCCTAACTACACATTTCATCTACTGAAAATGCCAAAGCATTGAGCCAGCTGTCACGGAACACATCGATGAAGGATGTCAAGCCAAGCCCAAGCTCTTTCCCAACAGCTTAGCTACAGCACTGCTACAGCTTAGTGTACGACCACGTGAGGCACCAAAGCCTGTCATCAACTCAGCTCATGGTGAGATGGTGAGGCTTTGGTGTAAGGCCACGCGCCTCGAGGAAAGCCTCTGAAGCTCGGGGGTCGCCAGTGGCCGGGAGTAGAGCCAAGGCCAGGCAGGCCGCATCTGCCAGTGCCTGCATCACTCTCAAACAAAAACCCAGTCTGCCGCGTGGCATCGCGTGGCATCAGTGGCAAATTGGCACAAGTCAACCCTTTTTCCGGACGTCGACGCCTGTTTCGATATCACCCTAGCTTGATGCTGGCACCAGCTCCGGCTGGGCATGTTAAGCTTCCACTCAAGTCATCCAGCCTAGCGCGAAACACCAAGTTTGGACGGTGCACAAGCCGAATGGATCTAGAGGAGCACGTCCAAATGGCCAGATCTCTGTCTGTCATGGCGGGCCTCCTATGTTGGAAAAGATTTGCTTGTATGTCGAGGTCTTGTGCCTCTGACAAGCATGAAGTATGATGTCAGGACCAATCTAAATGGAACAGAAGCTGGATGTAGCTGGAACGCATGCAAGATGAATTCTGAAATTCTGGAGTTTCAAACTAGACAGCACTGCTGGTGGATTCTGATGAACCCACTGCAATGTCAGGACGCTGGTAAGCCTTCACAGGGCTGTGCATGCAGAGATCCTCTTTGGGATTGTAAGCTCTCGCCGGCCTGTGGTATGTCTCACCGTGCATGCGCTCATCAACGGCAGACTCCGTGTCTTCGGCCACACGCATGTTCACCCACAGCTTCATCAGCAGTACGATGACAGAGGTCCCAATAGCAGAGAAAGCGATAGCAGAGAAAGCACTCACAATCTGCTTGCCCAAGAGCTGGAAGCTGCCACTATAGATGAGGCCGGCATCATTTGCAAAAATGCCTGTAAGGATAGCCCCTCCCATCCCACCCATACCATGCAGGCCAAAGGCATCCAGAGTGTCATCTACCAGCTTCCTTGATGCACGAACTGCCGGGGTCGCTACAGCAAAAAACGCAGACTAAGACTATACTCCGAAACACAAAAGCATCATACGTCGAGGGAGACTGTCCTTTACGAGAGTCAATCGGTTAACAGCAGCTACAGCGAGATAGCACCACGGAGCTGCAAGTAGTCCCAGGATGATGCTCCAGCTGGGTGTCACATATCCTGCGCCAGGAGTGATGCAAACCAAGCCAGCGACAGCCCCCACCATGGCGCCAACTGACGATGATCTCCCTTTCAGCAGCCGCTCCAGGACGAGCCACGTGAGCATGGACGAGGCGGCGGCGATTAGCCTCACTACCCAATACAAAACGAAAAACAAACCTTACCCTGGCATCACGACAAATGGACATGCCACTTGAGTAGCAGTTCTGTACTGGGCATTATCACAGAAAGTGCGCTCCCTCAATTTTCGATTTCTGCAAGAATTTCGGCAAGGTTCGTGCTGGCCACAGCTCGTGGCGCAACTCCATCTGTCACCGAAAGTGCTGATCCGCCGTTGAAACCAACCCATCCAAACCAAAGAAGGCAACCTCCAAGAATGACAAACGGCACACTGGCCGGGCCCTCCTCCAGGGGGAGGAGGATGTCTTAAATGTCAAATACCAGTCTGTGTATCTGTGTCTGTCAGTCTTGTAGTGAGCAGTCTCGAAGGGCTTTGGCTATCACTGTTGTTGTCATTTGATGACTGCTTCGCTCAAATTTGCTGGGTTGCGTCACAGCTTTGGAATACCATTTCAAGCTGTTGTTAGCCATTGGCAGCTGCAGGGCTGTGGGTCCACGGTACCTAGCTACACAAACACTAAACAGCAAGCCACAATGCTTCCAGTTATTCTCAGGAGTCCTCTGCTGCCCGCCGTCGAGGGCCAATAATAGCCCCAGCCACAAATCCCGAGACCCCGGAGCTGATGTGAATCACAGTGCCTCCTGCAAAATCAAGCGCACCTGTGCCAGTGTCGCTACCAAATCAAAGAAGAGGCACCCGTTTCCAACGATTTGTTGGGGCATGCTTACACAATGTACAAAACGATGTGGCCAAACCACATAAAGGCTGCCCACTGACAGAAGATGGACTTCCAGGGATAAGGTGCCCCTTACCAGACGAACCTGGAAGTTCACTAAGCACCTAGTTAAACAACTGCTGTAAACGGGCTTTACCACTACGACTAGATTGTCAGGAGACCAGAAGCATTGATTTCCATCACGGGTCTGCGGCCATGTTATTTGGAGAAAATTAAAGAATAAGCTCAGTCGGCAGACCCATCTTTCGGATCCATCCGCCAGGACCCCAGACCCAATGGGCAAGCGGAGCATAGATCAATATGGACCATAATGCCAGGAAGACGACGTAAGCGCTAAAGCGCACGCGCTCCACCAAGGACCCAGAGATAATGGCTGAAGCGATGATGGCGTAAGTCATTTCGTAAGTTGCGAAGCAGAGCCCCGGCAAGCCGGTGTCACCCCACAAACACATGTCCAGGTTGCGGAACAAAGCGTACTCAAAGCTGCCGACCCAAGCCCTGTAATCGCTCTCGCCAAAGGCAATGGAGAAGCCCACCACAACCCAAGTCACTGTTACCACACCCATTGCTATTACTGACATCATCATTGTATTAATAATGTTTGTGTCGCGTACCAGGCCCCCATAAAAGAAGCTGAGTCCTGGTTGGACGCGTACTGTCTGCAACAACCTAGACACATATGACGTACAGTCAATATTTCCACAGAAAATTTATGGACATGGGTTATATGGGTTCTTGATTAGGGGCTATATTAGCTACTATACTAAACCACAGAAGGGGGTCCTTTAATAAGGCTTGACGGCTTCGCGGCGTACCTCAACCCCAGCGTTTGCACAGTTTTTTCTAGGTCAACAAGTGCCATGGCGATATGAAAACCTTAAGCCCAGCATGCTGCTGCAAAAGAAGAGGAGCGCATAGATCACCGAAGCATAGCAGGCATGAAATGTGACAGTGCTCGTTATTTACTTGGCTTGTGCTGACCGTGGTTCTTCGTGCAGGACGCTCTAAGGCAGGTGCGCAGAGTAAAAATTGGCGCTCTAGTGTAGGCGCTGTCTGAAATTGGCCGGCGTCCCTCAGTTGACCTTCAAAAAGCAGAGGAACTCACGGAAGACAATGATGTCTGCGCAGCCGTGGTTAACCATTTGGGAAGACAAAGCTTTCAGCAAATGTCGTCCCTGGTACTCAGTGATCAGGTGAGTCCATCGGCCACGGCTGGAGTGGTGTGGCAGTTTACCCCCGAGTTTTCCCGGATCCACCTCTTGATGCAGGACCATTTGGTTTCAATGGCTTTCGTCGCACATGAGGTCTACGAAGTGCTTTTTGTAATTGTTGCCATCCCTCAGCTCAGCGATGGGGAGATCCAGGATGGAGATGCCGCCGGGCGCCTGGTCGGACCACAAGGGGTACGGCAAAAGCCTCACATGCCTCGAGTAGCTTCGATCCCAATTTCCAGTCGTGTTACCATCACGAGCAGCCATGGTAATGATAGGAGCACAGAAAGAGATAGCACTTGGAAATTCGAACTGGATACTGCTTCGCGTGACATACTGGACTCATTTTACGCATTCGCATAAATCTTGTTGAGAACGGGCATAGTCAAGTCTTCAGGCAAAGATCTCTGGTTTTCGCAGCAGCATCAAGTGTCCGACCTATGGCGAAACAGTCTCTAAAAGCAAGGCATACTCTCACTCACTTAGGTGCGTCTCACTCCCCGCTGCATCGAAAGAGTAACACGTTGCTTTGTAGCGCCACAACACTGTGCCTTGAACTAGCGTTTCAAGGAGTGGGTATGTATGTGCCCATAAACTTACATATCAAAATGAAAGTCACCGTGCCGAGATACTGTTGGCTAATGTCAAGAACTCACGAGGCTGCTCCGACGGCGCCGAGGTTTGACAGCTGAATCGGTATGTGTTTCCATATGGAAACTAGGAACTTCCAGTTAACCATCGCGTAAACCGCAAGAAAACTACAGCACGTGTGGGGCTTGCTCGTGAGATGTAAATCGCGAGCCGCAATGCGGAGCGCTTTCGTGCCAGGAGTTGCAGTCTCGGTGCTCGCGTGCATGTTTCTTGCGTACTACGGCGCACAGCACTAATGATCAGCATCGCGTTTTTTCGCCAAACGCCCAGTAAGTGCACCATTTCCAATCCCCCACCTTTTGGAGCTCAAAGGAATAGTTAGGATTAGTTTCAAAAAGGGATTTCTAACCCCTCTTCCCTAGAGCTTTCAAAAGGGAGTCGGGATTAATGCAAGCCGAAAACCACTGTATAATGCTAACATAGAGGCAAGAGTAGTAGTATAAGCAGGCTTTAACACTTTAAGTTTAAACCCTGAACACCAAACCAGCACCCTAGGCCGCGAAGGCTCAGGAGGGCCAGGCAGGCAGCATACCTGAGGCGAGATCAAAAACCAAAAAACAAAAAACACCAAAAAAAACAAACCAAAAAAAGAAACGTATACTAGTCTATGGAGAATTTGGTGGTTTTTGTTTTTGCTTTGTTGTTGGGTTTTTTATATGTTTTTGTTTTGTTTCTAACAATTTATTATGGGTCCTCATGGAATACTTTGCAAGAGTTGACGTGTAGATGATTGTTGTAGATCTGAAGGCTTCTACAGGCATGCCTACCGGATATAATCCACCGAACATATCTGGAAACAACTACACAGTGTGGAATCTACGTAGGTTTGTACGTAGGCGTAATTATATCATGAGCATACAGTATAAATGTGGAAAACGCTGGGGCCGAGGTACGCCGCCAAACCGACCTAACTTATATTGACTCCAATAGATCATATGTGGTTAGAAGCATTGGGGCCTTGGTTGGATTTGGACATATTTGGCCCGGAGAAAAGGTTGAGGAAAAAAAACACGCCCAGTTTTGAAGCAGAGTCCTGCGGTCATCAAGAAGACTAGCGCCGTGGAGATTAAAGTCCAGGCGACTGCACCCGCATTTACCTGGACATCACGCATTCATGATTGCATGAAGGCTGAAACCCCCGCCATCCCCAGTCCACCCGGTAGCTGCATGACCAGTTAGATGCCCTGAGGATCGTGCGGCATCTGGGGTCAGCGGAGGGTGAGCCATGGCTGAGCACCTGCCTGCTGGCCGCACCCTATCAGACCATCAGACCATCAGACCATGATTAGGATGACATGCCACAACGTAGCATGGTTATTACAGATCACTGGAAGAGCACAGCATCTGTGCCCTTGCAGATCTTGACAAAAAACCGAGAGTCTGGATTGACGGAAACAGCTCACGCAAGGCAACGGGCAAAACCTATACACGTTGCAAAAATAACGAAGGTTCTTTCTCGATTTGCTTTGTTATTGAAACCGATCTCTTGTCTGGCGTTGGCCCTGCGCCCTGGAAGAATAAACATTAAGCCAGACCCAATTCCGTGCTTCTGTTAGCCACGCCTCCACTCACCAAAATCTGTCACATCTAGCTTTTTCAGGTCCCTCGCGCAGGGCAGCTTGCCTGCCTCGGGGCCCAACATCCTGTGCAGCTGCAGAGCACGACGAAGCACTGACGCCAAGCCAACTTGATCCTCCAGGACACTGTTAATCTTTGCTTCTGGGAAATCTTTCACAATTTCACATGTACAATGTAAATATTGCAGGTTAGGTTTTTTCTGGATCGTGATTGTCGGAATTCAAATTCGTGGCCAGCTTGTGCTGAGCTTCGTCATCCGTGTCTTCAGGCAGCTATCGCCCAACTTGCGCCACACTCTAGCAATCACTGACTCCGCTGCACAGCTCAAGATATCTCACGAAAACTGCTTTCCACAGTAAGATGAATGTGCGAAAGCTGCATGCGGATTTGTTGCATGCTGAAGCCCTGGAGAAAAAGATAGACAAGTCATCACGCAGTCCTGGGCGACCCATCTTCGAAAGTGTATAGAAATTCCGTGCCCATGCTCCTGTCAGATTGCAGGGCAAAAGGAGGTATGGCAGTGCCTGAGGGGCACGCAAACTGCATGCATGGCGTACCGTTCTTGACTGCAGGTATGGCTCAGCTCGAGACCTGCTGTACAAATGGCATTCTTGTCCAACATACAACATTGCGTTCAAAGCTCCCAAATTGTATCATGGACCTCTGCTTATCTCTGCTTCTTGGCAGTCTCTTGCACCAGAGAGGTTCGGGTAGGAATCACAGACAACTTGAACCGTGGATAAACCCTCCAGGACAGTTTCATAGAAGTCCTGCATGAAACTCTCACTAGGAAATGGATTGAATGCCCAAGGGGTTGGCGCTGGCACCAGAAAGACCAGGACAAATCTGTCGCGGGATGGCTGGTCTCACCCTAGACTTGCAGAAGCTGCTATGGGTCTTGGAGCGGTTCATTGTGCATGTTGTGCTTGAAATGCAGCTACAGTGGACATCCACACATTCGCTTCCAACAGAAACCAGGTGTCCTTGGCCTCTCTTTCAGCTGCATCATAAACATCTCGTGTCAGTCGTAGGGCCTCAGACTGAGCCATGTTCAGGGTGGGTCACCTTGCCAAAGCCTCTCGGATATTGACCTGTGCCACTTCTACAGGACCGGCTTCTCGCCGCAGCATGCACAGCAAGTCCACCTGAACTCACAACGGAACGAAAAGAACGGTTCTGAAAGCCACAAAAAAAAGCCGCAGAATGCGTTCGACTCAACAGCCGCAGTGCTGGCCCGGCCTTTGACCGTAGGCGCAACTCTGAAGGTTCCATCTCCTGCAATTCTTCAAGTACCGGGTACCGCTGCACCGCGATGCCATGCTGCGCCAGCAGGCCTGCGTTGCTTGCACCTGCAGCACGACAAAAAGGGTCATCACACTGGAACATCGTGCGTACACGTCGCGCCTCATTTTGCGGCAGTGTGGCTAGCGCTGCGGCAATTTCATCTCGCACCTCAGCCTTCTCCTGGAAAGAGAATTCGGCTACGCAGAACCAGTTGAGTTGTTCCATTGACTTCTTCTTTCTTTCAAATGCGGCGAGTGATCACCTGGCGACCTACTGGCAGGGTTGAGCCTGGTATCATCCCCTCGGTGTTCCATTGACATGAGCACATGCAGCAAATTGCCTCGCGAGTGAATGGCCGGGAGAGATCAAAGCGCAAGGCCTCCCAGCTGCACAACAAAACCTTGGCTTCTCGCCTTCTTGCTGTCTTGCTGCAGCGAATCTTCTGAAGGCCTCCCTGCGACGCCTTGCTTTCCGTCCTCTTCTGGCCTGACAAGAGACAAGAGACAAAAGTAGCTACGGCACAAAAACCCCTGGGTTCAAAAGTGCTTGAGAACATCAGCAGCCGTCATTCTGCAGTCAAGACTCCTGAGCCTCTGATTGCGAAGGCCTATCAGAAAAATGTAACATTGAGTGTCGTCATGAAGGCTGCCAGTGTAAATGTTTGTCAAGCAAAGCCAAGACGGCGCCTTGATCGCGGTGAGGCTGCTGCACTGTACGGCCGGCAGACCAGAGCCTAAGCTTGCTGTCAGCTGGACGAGAGGTTGTCCTGGAGTGGCAGAACCAAATGCCAAATCCCGCACCGTCAAGTTGTTTCATGTTTTTTCAGCTTCTAGCTCTCTGGGTCTGATCAAATCATCATAGAA